GGGAATCTCTTCTAATGTATAAAACAATGACACACTGGAAAAATTCACCTATGTTGAGAAGCATGCTTGGTTATATATTTTCTTTTTTTAACAAGCTTTGACCAATTTTATTAAGGAAGTACTTTTGTGCTTTACTTTTGTCCTGGTCAGTCCTTGTCTTGTTCTCAGTGATGTTAGAATTGCCTGGTTCAACTCTAGCCTAGGTACACAGTAGCACTTTAGCACTTTACCCATAGGGGATAATTGTCACTCTAGTAAGACATGCCAGTTTAGGGTTGACATAGCAGAATTCTCATGTCTGATCTTCCTCACGGCTGTGTACTTCTTTTTTTTTTTTTGAGACAGGTTTGTAGTCCATGCTTGCCTTTAACTAGCAGTCTTCTTGTCTCAGTCTGCCGAGCATTGGGATTACAGGCATGCACCACTACACCTGGCTAAGGGCTGTACACTTCTTGACCAGGAGGCTCCATTTGTCTTTGCCCTGCCCATAGTCACTGTCGAGATCCAATAGTATCTTTGAAGCTCTGTTCTCACCTACAACCTGAAGGTAGTAGGCTCCTTGAGTGTTGGTTTTATTTGAAGCTACCATCTTGGTAGTATTTGTGGAATAGGGCCCAAACCTTAGGTCACACCAAGATGGTTAGGCAATAGGAATAAAAGTTGCAAAGCTCTTGGGGTAATGCAAGAGAAGCTGTGGGAAGTAAGGCACTCGATTTATTTTTGAGCAATTATCCAAAATAAAGATGTATTTGACTTTTAAAAAGAACCTTATGAGTTAGCACACCTGGAGCCCACTTTTACATAGTGAAACCTCTACACCAGAATCTGGAATAGCTGGATTCTATTCCCGGTGCTGCCAGTAGTTGTCTTCAAGGATAAGATTCAAATCTTGTAAATGCACCTTTACCCTGGAATCTTATAAGTATAAAGTTTTCCTTTGTATAATATTAAAGGAATGTTTATGAATTCCAAAATAGACTTAAGAATATTACTTCACTTTTCCGGAGGAAAAATTCCACCAGTTTCAGAATTTGGAACATGGCCACAAACATAAGCTGACAAATGAGAAGAGCAATTAATCAAGTATAAAAAAGCAGAATGGATCCTTGTATAACTGAGCTGCCTCCAGACCCATGCACTCTTTATGCTCCTCCCTAAATCACACAGCAGAATGATTGAAAATGTTTGTGACACAAAGACAGCTCCAAGATATGATGGCTGACAGCCAATGAAAAAGATGGGAAAGCATCCTTGGTGGGTTAACAAGAATACAGGTGCCTGGCAGGGAGGGAATATTTAAAGCAAGTATGAAACCCACTCTTTGCTCTCAATAATTTCTGTTCTTTTTAGAGTGCTCCATATAAATTTGCTGGGTTTGTAGTTAACAATGGTCAAATACCATTTTTGTATGTTCAGTATACACTTGTTCAATATACAAGAAGCAAAGCAATCACATGTTAAACAAGTGCAACGAGTATAAAACAGTCTAAAATTCTATATTAAGTTATAGTGATGTCATATGAATAAAAAAAAAGTTATAGTGATGTAAAAGTAAGTATCTAGGAAGAAGGTCTGTGACAACTGGAGGAGCCACAGATGACTTTCTAGAACAAATCTGAGTCACAAAGCCTATGTGAAATTTAAATAGTTGTTAAGAACTAAAACTCTGGATAGAGGAAATAGCCTTAGTAAAGGACAGGAACAAGAGAGAGCATATTCTGTACAGGGAAAGTTTGCTCACAGAGAAGATGCAGAAGACCGGGAAATGGAAATGAAATAGGATCCATAGCATGGAATCAGTTTATGCAGATACTTGCATACCAAGCAAATCGTAAGCTCCAGTTTTGTGCAGTTTACTCACAATTAAGTGTGTTGGGCATAGCCACTCAATATAAGTTTGTGAAGTGAATGAGTGAAGAGTTTTGATTAAGGATAAAACAAGAATTCGCTGGAGGTTTGAGGGAAACAATTATACAGGATAAAAGTGGTATCTAAAACTGATTGTGCTGGAAAAGTCAAAGGAAAAAGACTAGCATCTGGAAATAAAACGAGATCATATCATTAATCTAGAGAGGCCTGAGAAGAGTTTGGAGTGGGATGGAAGAGAGACTTACATTGGAAACATTAAAAAACAAAAACAAAAAAAAACTCAGCATGAACTCAAAAACTTTAGGCTAAGTGAAAGAAGCCAGTCATACACACAAAAAACACATATCATATGATTCTATTTATGAGAAATAGGCAAATTTATAGAGATAAGAAGTAGATTATTAGTTTCTAGGACTTAGGGGAGTGGAATGGGGGACAAGAAGAATAACTAGTACTGACTGTGGGGCCTTAGGGGAGGGTTGGTGAGATGTTCTGAAATTAATTATAATGATGCTGTACAACTCTGAATAAACTCAGAACCGTGGAATTATAGATTTTAAATAGTTGAATTGTATGCTATGTGAATTACATCTTAATAAAGCTGTTACTTAAAAAGAGACCAGGGGAACTAATAAAATGTGATGAGTGTCAGGATATATGTGTTTGAAGGAGAAAAGGAGTCACTCACAATAGACTTCATAATTTCATAATTTGACTCTCAGTGAAATAGCAAGAATTACCACAGTTATTACTTGCCATTGTTGTGAAAGTCTTGGAAAATGCAATTAGACATGGAATATAAGCAAGAAGTATAACATAGAAAGGGAGGAACCAGTTTTTTACTTGCAGAAAACTCAAAAGAATGAATAAAAATGATTAGCGTTGATGAAAGTTCAGTAATATGGTACTATGTAATGGGTACACTCATTAACTAATAAGAAAAATATTATTCAAGAGCTGGAGGTGTGGTTCAAATAGTAGAGCAAGCATGAAGCCCTGAGTTCAAACCCTAGTACTACCAAAAAAAAAAAAACAAAGAAAAAATGCTATTCAAAAGTTTAACCTTGAATAGCCTTAATAATGAACAGGAGTGGTTTATGCAAAGGAAAAAACAGATTTGTATAAGCAACAATAAATGAAGTTTTAGTAAATGGAGATATGTATCAGGTTATTTCATAAGGAGACTAAAAGTTTTAAAAGATAGCAATCCCATTTTAATTTTCAAAAATCTAATTATTAAAGTCACTAGATAGGAATAAATATATATTACTGGCAATGTAAAGTTGGTGAAATATTTCAAGAACCCTCAAAATGTTCATACCCTTTGTCCCAATGAAATCTTCTAGGCAGAAAAAACTTTATGCACAAAATGCTCAGTCTTCCCCTTTAGGTCCTAGATGAAAATGCATATCTTCCTCAGGTCTTCTCTTCTCCCCCTCTTTACTTACCTGATTTCCAGACTATTCTAAATCCTGGTGCCCCTCTTTAAATGAGTCATTAACCTTGGTTGTTTAGAAAAAAATTAAATAAGGAAAACTAAACTCAACTGAAGGATTGTGACCACAATTTAGAAATAACTATAACACATTGGAAAGTGTTTGCTGGTGATTGGGTGTATGATTTGGTAGTGGTTATTTCTTAGAAAGTATACATCGTATGTTGGTATTAGAAGCATGCCTTTCTGGGGGTCATGAGAGTTAATGGTACCTCAGAGAACAGAAATGATAGGAGGTCTACCTACAATTTTCTAGCATTATGAAGGAGGAAGTAAATTGAAGAATAGTAGAATATGTGCTTGCCTGACTCAAAAAACAGCCAGGATAATTTCTACCCTCTTTATTAAGGAAAAAAAAAGAATCTACTCTTAAAAAGCAATAAACTTGATTTTTTTGTTTCCTTTCTACATTTTAATACAAAATATCAGAATGGTTTAAAAAATGCAGAGACTATATACAAAGAGACAGACTTGCTTCTCCAACTTGTTCTCCACCCCAGAGTTAACCACTGCTATGATTGTATTTAAAACATCATGGCATTGTTCCTTTTGTTTAAAAACCAACTCAGTCTTTAACTCCAGTGTAGCCTCATTTTTAAATAAAAAGCATGATTATATTTGTTATAGTCTTATTTTTTTCTTATATTCTAAATCAGCATATACATTCATGACAGAGAAGTAAAGGCAGATTTTATGTTACCGATGTTAAATGCTGAAATCTTAGAAACCCAGGAATATTAGTTAAGTGGAGAGGGATATGACTGATCATGGATTTCAGACTTGTCAGTCTTTGTAGGCCAGCAAGTGAAATCACAATGGGAAGCAGGCAGATGCAAGACACCAGGACCTGGTGGGGACGAGTGTCATGTGGACAGCATGTGCCTTGTCAGAAGCAACCAACCCATCCTCAAGCCAGGGTCACTCAGGCTGGAATTTTAGCTAGTTTTGCTAGACCTTCTGGTTTTTTCAAAAGAAGCCAAAACTCTGTTTTTGTTTTTGTTTTAATGTAAAATCTATTTTCAAATTGGCTCATTTTAAAAGCACTAAGAAATCTTTAAAAAATTGCAGACTGAAAATTGGCCTCAGACTACCAAATTGTATCCCCTTTATATTACTATACTCACCAGCAGCAAAAGAAACTCATTTTTCTACATTTGCTGTAAGTTCTTGGTGAGATGATTAAAAAAAAACAAAACTATCCAACTAATTTATCAGGGTAAAAAAGGTATTACTGAATTTACCGCATAAACTTTTACATTATTTTCCCTCCATGTTTTCAGTCTGTTTTAGGAATCTACTATACTCCTCTTACACCACATTACATCTCTGAATTTGGTCTCTTCAAGTAGTGTTCCTCATTTGTTGGTCCTCAGTCCTTTGTACCATGCTACAAAGAGAAAGGAATGCAAAAAAATTTTAAAAAAGTTTCAGCATCTTCATTTTCCAATCTCCAGTGGTTTAAACCAGAGTTCTTTTGGAGCAAAAATACTCTGTCTTTTCTTTCTTAGAGTTGCTGAGAAATTATAATTAGAGGTTTTCCTGTTGTGTAAAGGAAAGGAATTCCTTTCCTTTCCCACATCTGCAATACTTCTGTTCTCAACGAATTTGCTTCTCTGTCCCATTTCTCTTTATACAGGTGATAGAGGGAAAGCTGGCTCCATTCTTGGGCAAGGTCATTAAATTTGCCACTGCACACGTGTACAGCTGCAGTCTTTGTAGCCAGAAGGGCTTCATCTGCGAAATCTGTAACAATGGAGAGATCCTCTACCCTTTTGAGGATATTTCAACGAGCAGGTACAAAATATCTTATCTTATAAAAATAATACCTGAGTAGGTCACACAGTTTTATTTGGCCAAATCAGGGCAACTTTTAGTCAAGTACTATATCTCTGTCTTTTACCCTGCGTGAGGTTTCCCTTGTTCTTGGGGAAGATTTTTCATACTTTTTGGTTTTCTTTTTTCTTTTTTTAGCAGTATTGGAGTTTGAACTCAGAGCTTCCCACTGCTCCTCCACTTGAGCCATACCTCCAGTCTACCCTTTGCTTTTCTATGTTTATTTCCAACCCTTACCAGCTACCTTTATCCAGTGTGAGATAACAGAATGCAAAGAAATATTGCCAAGCTCTGCCTTATTAGGTAACGAAGAGTGTGTAGATTCCATTTTAGAATGAAGAAGAACCCTGGCCAGCTTTTCAGAGCTGGCAATGGGAAATTGCCCTCTCAGAGGAAGGCCAAAACTAGATCCATTGCCAGGAATACAACTAGAGGACCCTGGTAGACACCTGCCTGCTCACCACATGCTTTTCTCTACAGAGGCATTGCAGTGTGGTGATGAAAGTTTTAGGACTTAAAGGAGAGAAAAGTGGGAATTTATGTGGGATTATTTTTCTAACCAAAGTAATATTTAGACATCAACATATCCTTTGATTGATGGATGATTTTCCCTGACAAACTTAAGATCATGGTTTCCTTATTATTGCTTTTCTTGAAGCACAAACTGATACATATTACTTTTCCTTTCATCCCCAAAGCGTAACAGAAATGTACACTGTTTGGGTGTGTGCCCTGCCTTCTTGGCCATGAATGTCATGGCTCATTTCCCACCCAATCGGACTTACTTACACTGTGGTTCAGAACTGAAGATGAGGCACATAGCCAGGGAAAGTTGAAACATGTAGGGTAGAGCTAAGATGGTAAGGCTTGACTCAACCCTTTTGGCCTCTTTTTAAACCCAAAGACTTTGTAAACATCCAGGAACTGGGGTTAGCCCCACACATACAAAGATAGACACATAAGTGCATAGATACACAAATATATATACACACACATACAGTCCAGCCTCCAGTTTCCTGAGTATAAGTACTTGGTTCATAGCCTATAGATTAGATAGATACCTTTTAAAAATGTATACCAACAAAAATATACACAAATGTTCACAGCATCAGCAGTATTCATAATAGCCTCAAAATGGAAACAACCTCAATGCTTTTCAACTGATGAGTAAGTAAACAAAATGTAGCCTATCATACAATGAAATATTGTTCAGCCTCAAAAAGAAAGGTAGTGTTGATACATGCTACAACATGAATAACCTTGAAAATATATTAAATGAAAGAAGCTGGATACAAACGGCTACATATCATATGATTCTCTTCATATGAAATGTTCAAAATATACTGGCAAATCCATAGAGACAGAAAGTAGATTGGCTGCTACATGGGCATGGAGGAGGAGGATAAAGGGTATAACTACTAAGGGGTACAGGATGTTTTTGGTGATGAAAATGTTGTGGAATAGGATTGTGATGATGGTTGCATAATCTTGTGACTACACTAAAATTCAGTGACTTGTATAAAAGGATGAATTTTATGATATGTGAATTATATTGTAATAAAAATAAAAATTAAATTAAAAATGCTTCCAACTGAGTAAGACACGTTGGGCCACAAAACATATCTCAGTAAATTTTAAAAGACTGAAACTATACCAAGTAAGTTCTCTAGCACATAGAATTAATGATCCACAGTAAAAAAATAAAATCTGGTAAACCCAAAAATATTTGGAAACCAAGCAGTATATTTCTAAATAACTCATGGGTTAAAGAAGAGACAATGAGGGAAATTTTGAAAAAATTTGAAGTGATTGAAAATGGAATATAAAATATAAAATCTCTGGTATGCAGCTAAAGTAGTGCTTAGAGTAAAAGTTATAGCTACAAACACTTATATCCAAGAAAAAAGAAGAAAGCTCTCAGTAACCTAAAATTCCACCTAAGAAACTACATAAAGCCAAGCATGGTAGTACACATCTGTAATCCCAGCTACCCAGGAGGCAGAAGTAGTAGGATTGAGGTCCCAGTACCACAGGAAAAAAAAAAGCCTGGAAAATCCCAGAATATTTGGAGGCTAAACCAAATAGTTTTAAAGAACATGAGTTGATAACTTAGCCATGCAAAAACATGTTCATGGATGTTTTTAGAAGCTTTATTCATAATTGCCCAAAACTGAAAGCAACCAAGATATCCTTGAGTAGGTGAATGAATAAACAAACTGTTACATATCCGTATGATAGAATATTGTTCTGCAATAGAAGAAATGATCTATCAGGCCACAAAAAGACATGGACAAAATTTAAATAATATTGCTAAGGGGAAAAGTAATTCAGAAAAGGATACTTGATTCCAATTTCATGACACTCTAGAAAATAGAAAACTATGCAGATATCAGTGGTTGTTAGGGATTCTGGAATTGGAGGGATGACTAGATGAAACAGATTTTCAGGGCAATGAAACTATTCTATATAGTTCTATAGTGGTATATACCTGACATAATACATTTGTCAGAACCCATAGAACAATACAACACAGAGTGAACCTTAATTCAAACTGTGGACTTTGGCTAATAGTGATGTATTATTATTGATTTATTAATTGTAATAAATAGTAATGTGAGATGTTAATAATAGGGGAAGAAGCAGGTGGCAAGATACATAATGTGAGAATTTTCTATTTTTTAATTTATTAATCTACAACTGTTCTAGAAAAAGTTTTAAAAATTTAAAGTTTATCTGTATGAATGGTTGACTCTAAGACCGAAACTGAACAGTTTTTAATAAGCTTTATTGGAATACTTTTAGATTTGCGGAAGAATTATAAAGATAAGACAGTGAGTTCTCATATTCCACACGTCCAGTTTCCCTGTGACATCTTACATTGAAGTACATTTTATAATAAATAAACCAATATTAATTCATTGTTGGCTAAGGTCCATTGAGGTTTTTTTTCATATTTCTTTAGTTTTTTTACCTGATAGTCTCTTACATTTATTTGTCACACCTTCCTAGGCTTGTCTTAGCTATGACAATTTCTCAGATTTTACTTGTTCTTGATAACCTTAACTGATAGAGTATTTTATAGAATCCCTCTTTGGAGGGTATGCTTGATATTGTTCTTAGGATTAAACTGGATTTATGGGTCTTGGGAGGAAGAACACAGAAGTAAAGTACCATTTTCATCCCATCATATCCCAGGTGCATAGCCAACATGAGGTATTACTGCAGTGTTTGTGCCAGCCTCTTTTACTATGAAGGTCCTCTTCTTTCCCCTTCTCCATACTGTCCTCTTTGGAAGGAAGCAACTATGTGCAGCACACACTTAAGAAGTAGGGAGTTACATCCTCCCTCTGGGGCAAAGCATGCATGAAATTTTTTAAAATTCTTCTGCATGGAAGATTTGTCTTTTCTTTCACATTTTTTTAATTGTTTATCAATGTGGACTTGTACATAGTTATTTTATGCTTTGAATTATACAATACTGCTTTATTTTAATTGTTCAAACTTTAGCCATTTCAGCTCTCAATTGGCCATTAAACTTTGGCCATTCAAGCTCTCAGTTGGCTCCTATATCCCCAATCATTGAGGAGGGTTTTGTTTGTTTGTTTGCTTGCTTAGTAGCTATTGGTTTAGCATTTTCTTACTTTCTGCCATTACCAGATGCTCCACACTCATTTCTTACCCTAGTCTAAGACACAGCCATCTGTTCAACAAACCTTGGTTCCTTTTACTGGAGATTGACATTAGACACCAAGATCTGACCATAGGTTTTTACACACATTTTTAAAGATGTCAGTCCCTAGACTTATCCCTTGACTGGAACAGAGGTACTTCTGTCTTCTGCATACCAGAATCTCCTGTTAGACTTGGTTTGTTTAAGTCCAAGAATCTATGTCTTCAAAGACTCTGTGATCATGGGTCACCCCTAGAAAAAAGAATCACTCCTCAAAGGTAGCTGTGACCATAGTTAGAGATACTGGATTCTTAATAAAATGATCACATTATCACCTCTATAGAATACATAACTATTTATAGAGTCTTCCCTTAGTCAAATGTAGTTCTCCAAGCTTGCCAAAATGTGTGAGTCAGAAGCAGCTTTTGCCAGCTTTCCCAGAATTCCAGGTCCATAATACTTGTGAGGAACCTATTAGCTTCTTCATGGTGTCCAATTGCCAGTAAAACACTGGCAACAAGCCTGTGGGGAAATGCAAAAGGAAACATTAATGAAAACATATCTGGGGTGGGGACATGACTCAAGTGATAGAGTGCACAAGACCCTAAGTTCAAAACCCCAGTACCACCAAAAAATAAAAAAAAATATTGAAGAAAAACTTAGGTAGAAGCACCAAATTACTGGTTCAAAGCATGTCCATAAAGATATAGTGAATAAAAATGTGATAAATAAAAATAAATTTGAATAGTGGGATGAATCTTAAAATCTGAGTATAATGAAAATTTTTATTAATGAAGTAATATACTGAATGAGATTTGCCTCAGAATAATCTGATGATGAGGTGGGGGATGAATGTAGATGAAAGAGATTGCCATAAACTGATACTTGTTGAAGCCAGATAATAGGTACACAGGGATTTAGTACTATTCTATATTTTAGTATATTCAGCCTTTTCCATGATAAAGCATGTTTTAAAATTTGTTTGTAAAAATCTTAGATACAGGGTTTTTAGTGAAGTTGTTACATTGATCATCCTACTTAATTCAATACCTCTGTAGCCTCATACTTTATTCTTTTAAATCCAAATATCATCTGAATAGTTTAATTATAGTTTTTTGGGGGGGGATTTTGTGTGTGTGTGGTACTGGGGATCAAACGCAGGGCCTTGTGCATGCTAGGCAAACACTTAACCACTGAACTACATCCCCAGGCCCTAATTATAGTTTAATAAAAAATATTTTACAAAAACTAGAATTATTCATTCTTTCAATAAATGATTTATTGAACATAC